TGCATAGGCTACTCTGTGTCATACGTACGTACGGTTAGATCTCCACGACAATAACAATGTGTATATATGTAGTATTCGTATCTGAGATAAAGGTTGAAAAAGGTAGCTCTAATATTTGACAATCCCATTATAACAATCAACTGCGTCAGGATCTGGCAATGAGCCATGTAGTCGAATGTGTCAAGGATAGATTGCTTGGTTGATTATGAGGCGATCGCTAGCTACGCGGAAGTTATATACAGTGCGGATTACGTAAGAAGGTGGATAGGCCTGACACCCCCACTCACCAATGTAACTGTATGTGAGATTACATACAAAAAATAGCCTGTAGCTAGGTATCAGTGCATAATTTGACTGGAAAACCCATATTGTTGAAAAATCAGTCATTTTCTCCATATAATCATTTTCACCTGCTTACTGCATCTTCTAATATCTGCTGTCATAGAGTGTATCTAGTCATTTCAAGCAGCTTGATCAGCCTGTCTGCTGTGTTCTCAGTAGACAGAACATAATCAATTGAGATCTCATTCTTGCAGATGAGATCCTGAAGAGTATGGAAGTGAATCTCTATATGCTTAGAACAGTGTGGAATAGCCTCACTTTTGACCAGTTCAATTGCTGATTTATTATCTGCTCAAATTGTATATGCCAGCTTATTGATTAGTGATTCAATCAGATCATCATTATCATCAAGATTATTGAGCTGAGATGATATGAAGCCAGCATCCTTCAGCAATTTCTGAAGGCAGACAAGCTCATAGACAGTCTCTGAGAATGTGATATATTTGATCTCAGTAGATGATTTTGAAATGTCTGTCTGCTTGCTGCTTTGCCAAGCAACAGAATTCTCTGTCATATAAATGACATATTCAGTGATGAAGTGAGAACTCAGATCACAGTCTGCTCAATCAGCATCAGTAAACATCACAGATTCTATATTCACATCTTTTCAGTAGGACACACTTATGTCAGATGTGTCTTATAGATATCTAAGAATTCACTTAAATGCTGCTTAATTCTTTGAGATAGAGTGAGAGCTGAATCTTCTTAGAAAGTCAGCAGCAAAGCTTATATCAGAGTGTGTGTTGACAGCAAGATATTGCAGAGAGTTAATCTCTGATTGATAGAAACATAATGTAAATTTCACTGTATAAGCAACTGATTCTTCATTATCACTCATGAAATCAACATTCTTCTTCATAGAGGAAGATGTTGAGTGGCAGTCATTCATTGAGAATTCCTCAAGCAGATTCTTTATGAACAGTGACTGAGACAGCAATAATGATTCAGCATCCTGATCAATCTTCATACTCAAATATCAGTTTGAATTGCTCACATTCTTGATCTCATAATTAGTGATGATCTGGGCTTTTGTCCACTCAATATCTGATATATTTGAGCTGTATAGATGAACATTATCCTCATAGATAATTATATAGACCTTGCAGATGTCATTTATAAAAAAACTGATGTCATGAGAACTGATGTGAAAGTCTGTTTTCAGTAGTATTTTTCACAGCTTCTCATATCATAATAGTGCTGCTTGCTTCAGATCATATAGTCTCTACATCAATTTGCATATCAGATTACTGCATCCCTCACAGAACTCAGCAGATTGATGCATATATATATGTTCATTGATGAGAAGCTGAGCATTTAAGAATGCTGTAACCATGTTGATCTGCAGAATGTGTCATTCTTGAAATACTGAGATTGTCATAAGTGCTCAGAAGATGGAAGTCAATACAACTGATGCAAATGTCTTTGAATAATTGACATTCTTTTCTTGATAATTGCTGCAGACTACTCAGCAGACTTTATATCAATCAATTCTACCTGCATTATTAATCTTTTTGTCAAACACTCATTGACCACATAGAATTATCATATCTGAGGTCTTTTCAACTAGCTGTCATGCATCAATCTGCTTGAGATGGTTAATCTTCTTAACACAGACATGAAAGTAATATTTTCAATCTGCAGATGCCTGAGCCTGAGTGAGATTCTTCAGAAGTGACAAGTCAGTGATCTCAGAGTCTGCAGAAATGTCAGTTGAATTGTCAGTGAAATCTCTCACTGAGGTCTCTCTCACTGAAGTAATATTCTCAGTGAGCATTGAAGAATCCTTCATCTCTAAAGTGAATTCTGAGAGGGCAGTAGTGTTCTGCATCAAAAATGTTAGAATTCACACAGTAATCTCATAGTCTATTCATCAATTATTTATAGAGTGTAGAAATACTGAGAAAGCAGATACAGACTTCTCATTCATCATGAAATCATCTGTTGATAAATTGTGTTGAGTGAAGAGAATTGCAACTGCAATCACATGAATAGTAAAAGACAGATTCTTGACATTTTGCTCAGATGAGATCAAAGAATTCATCAAATGAAGATCTTCTTGAAATATCATATCTTTTGATGTGTAAAGGTGACTGTTAAAAGGATTGATCAATCTATAATTAGTAAAACCATCATAGCCTGTAAATATAAGCTCTTGTGATCATGAGATCATCTTCATATTTGACTTGAGCACTATTTTTAAATAAGTCTTGCACCCTCATCAGCAAATTCCACATGCAGAGAGCAGGGCCCTGAGCCAAGCTTCATATGAGATAATTGACTTTAGATCTAAATCCTCTACATCATTATAGAGCTTGACTGATATTGACATAAGATTAAGCATTTCAGTCACTGCAATTACCACCTTACCTCACATCTGAGGAGAAGTGAATGAATCTATTAATAATGTTCAGGCTTCTTCAATAATCAGATCAATAGAATGTTTAAACACATCATCTTGCTGCAGAGTATGAGGCAGAGTTGATTCTCATTTAATATCCTCACTCATCATATAGGTGGCTGCTGTGTTTGAATTCAACTCATCACAGTCAGAGTGAATAATCACAACATCACAATTGAGCAGATTCTTCATAAATTGATTGAAGGTTCATATATATTTTAGAGTCTCATTGTGGCACTTCAATAGAAAGGTTCACTGCATTTGTGTGACATTATCAGTGATCATCATCATGAGCTTCTTACCTGCATAGGATGATGTATCTTCTTCATTATCAAGCATTTCTCCACCCTCAAATAGGTCTACTCAGATCTTAAGATCTTTGTGAGTGGCACAGTGTAGGAGAGCATTTTTATAACTTACACATTTATGCTTGACTTTAATGCATGTGATGCAGAATGAGAGCTTCTTTGAGCTGATGATGACAATTCTGAAACAGAGCTCCTGCAACATTTTAATTAAATTCTTCTCATCAATATGATTCAATCACTAGTGCCACTCATCAATCAGTAGCTGCTTCAGCATAATGGCAGATAAGCAGGTTGATGAAGACAAAATGAAGGTATCAGTATCTGAATCCTTCAGGTTAATCAACTGCTCCATGTCATTGCAGTTGAAAAGACCTAGTGATGCAGCATTCAGATCATAATCTGTTGAAATCACCCTGGGCTTCAGGACTGTCAAGTATGCCAGTGATTCAAGCTTCAGATCATTCATAATACCTCTGAACATAGGTGTCAGATAGAACATATATATTATTGGAATTCAAAATTGCATAGAAGATGTCATTTCCTGTAGATGCTATTTTCTCAAAGTAATTTCTGATGTTCACCTGCAGATCACAGTGAATATAGCCCTGGCACTTCAATAGGCTAGTGGATATAAGATTGGCAGATAAGCCTGGCACCAAATAGACATGATCAAATTCAATTAATCTTTCCTCAACTGGAATGAAGGTGACTTTAATTCCTTGAACCTTCAAGGTAGCCTTATTGGCCACTTGAATTGTAGAGCTACTAACCTCTGTTATGTGAGAAAATTGTGATCAATCACATGCAATATGACATCCAGCCTCACTATCCCATATGATGAGTGGGTTGATGATTGATTCAACAGAGTACACAGACATCTCAATGATCTGCACTAGATTTGCCATTTGGAACATCTCAGAGCTGTCATTTGCAGTTGATGAGGCCTTCTTGCCTTCACTACTCTTCTTATTGTTATATTTCTCTATTCTCACTGTGTTGATGGTCCTTCATTCTTCAGAAGTGCTATTCAGATTGACTGCCCAGCAGAGTCCACCATGATGATGCTTGCATTCCAGGTAGATTGAGAGGTCAGACTTTGAATGTTCACTCATTCAATAGTCTCTGTGTTCCCTGGGTCAGCCCTCACAGGCTGAATTATTTTGAATGTTGTTGCTATTATTGAAACCTGCAGCTGTGTTTTCAGCCTGAGCCACATTGGCTGAAGAATTAGCTGTCTGAATGAGCTTCTTGATCTCTTTGGAGAGATTCAATCAAGAGTGTATTTCCTCCATGATTGAATGAACATTCAACATGACAGATTTTGATTTGAACTCTTGTACCTCCTCAATTTTCTTTTGCATGTAGTTTCATCATATATTGAGAAGTACAGAATAGAACACATGGAATACCATGTCATTTGACAGTAAGATATTGAGTATTTCCAATTTCATAGTAATGTCATTGAACTTATTGAAAAACATATGTACATCAGTGACTTAGACACTGCTCATTGATGTAAATTCCAGGACTGCTTCTCTGCAGAGCTGTGTTCTTGAGATAGAAAACTTCTTCTCAACTGTGTGTCAAAGAGAATAAGTGATTCTGCCCTTATCATACTTATTAAAATGAGGCCTAATGCTAACTGCCAATGCATTCAAAATAAATGTGTAAAGTCAGTGATTTTTGACCTCTCAAAAAGGAGCTCATTTGAGATTCTCATCAGAGCTTTTGACTTACTTGTCCTCCAATATAACCCAGCATTGAGCATCAATTAGCTTGGCCTTCATATTCACATGTCAGGAGAGGTAATTCAAAGATTCAACCAGAGCATTCAGCTTGATGGCATATTTAGTATTCTGTTTGAACTGACTGATCACCTTGCTGATGCAGCTATCCAGATCATAGAGATTATATTGCATTTGAGACCTCAAGTTCAGATCTCATGCTGACATTCAACCTGCTGACAGATTTGTGAGCATTGCAGCTCTGTCATTTTGAGTGCAAAGCCTCTTCAATTGAAGTTGAAGCTGCAATTCTTTGCACCTCTCTTTTTGAAGTTCTAAATCAATCTTTTGATGTTCAAGATCCAATCTCCTCAGTTGCAATTCTTCAGAGTCAGTTGTTGATGATGAGTTAGAAGTCATCACAGACATCTCCACCTCATCTTCTGAAGAAGTCAGGTTGGCATATTCAACACAGCATAGGCAGACCAGCCTCATCATGATAGAGGCTGTAATCAGCCCAGCTTGCCAATTGAGCATTTCAGAGAATCCAATATTGAAACTCCTGAATGTCTCTGGGGGGGTCAGTGAGCTCAAGGCCCTCTGATCATTTTCAGATTGATCAGATTGACTGAATTAACTCAATCATAACTGTGAATGAGTCATCATATATTCCATCATGTCATATTAATCTTCTTTCTAATGAAGTAATCTTATTCAGTGAGATTCTTGCCTATAAGCTTGATTGAGCAGATTGACATGTTCTTGTGTGATCAGTCACTGAAAAATTAGCAAGTTGCAGATTTTTCTTTCACCTGCTAAGTGAACAGATTGAACACAGAAAAAATAATAATAATATAAGAGTGCATCAAATCAATCAATTGACATAAAATAAGACAATATTATATTGAATGAAGTGAGCAGTGATTAATATATGCTATATTTGACAAGAATTCCCTGAATTGGCAGTTATTTGCGCAAAACAGGTCTCATAACCTGTCAAGGATAGATTGCTTGGTTGATTATGAGGTGATTGCTAGCTACGCGGAAGTTATATACAGTGTGGATTACGTAAGAAGGCAGATAGGCCTGACAGAATGTAGTCATTTAGTCAGCCGCGCACATTCTCTTTTTGTTATATACTACCTATTTTCCTAGCAATTAGTTAGAAGATAGATGCAGAGAATATACAGTTCAACTTGATGCAACATTAGCTATTAAAATATTCTGACATTTATGAGTCTGGTGGTCACATAACCGTGCCACACGCACTCACCATTAGTGAGTGCGCCCCACCATAAAGAAAATATCAATGTAATGGAAAATCTCTTTTTTGTATATTCATCACTAATCTTCAAAATTTAATAACCATAACCACCATGCCTAAAAATATTAAATATTCGGAAGATCAGATTCAGATGTCATTAAACACCATAAAATCAAAATCAAATTTAAAAATCACAGATGTGGTGTGGGAATTCAAAATTTCATATAGAACTCTAAATGAATATGTTAAGGAAAATATATCAAGAAATATAAGAGCTTCAATCAATTGAATGTTGAGTAACAGTTAGTAGAAAGCTATCTAAAAGTGAATTCATCAACTAAATAAAAACTTTTGCTCTTCTACAGTTGAACATATTGAAGCTGTTGCAAATTAAATGCTTAGTTATTATCATATCAATTTAAACACTTCTTCTCCTATTATGAGCAAGATGTAGGTGTATCAATTCATCAAATATCTGTCAGATTATAAAAGAATCAAGTAGAAATCAATAAATTCAAAATGAGTATAAAATGAGAATATAAGCTTTGTTATCAACTGATTCAATTGTTATGAATTTATCTTCAATCAGTATAAGTTTTATATCAGTAATATTTATAATTTTAATGAGATTAAGTGTCAAGAAGAAGAAGACTATGAACAGTAAGTTATAATTATCTATTAAGATGTCAATTCTGTCATATAATCATTATATTCTTATGAGTTAATAACGATAGTAGAATATATTAGTACAAATGATATAGTATTGAAGCTATTAATTATAATAAAATCAAAAATTTATTTAGAAAATTGATATATATACTTCAATCTATCTGATGATTATATTATCATCATATCTGATACTAACTTCACTAATGACGAGATTGAATTTGAATGAATAAAATATTTTAATACTATCAATAAGAAATACTAAATTGACAGTTATTGATTATTACTGCTTAACAATCATAAATCTCATTTTACTGAAGAATTTCTTCAATATTATGACTTTCATAATATCATTATATTTGAATTTTCATTTCATACAAATTATCTACTGCAATCTGTTAATAGTGTATTTTTTCAGCAATATAAATATTATTATACAAAAGCAATTAACACGACTACTTGATATGAATATAAATAATATTATAAGAGGTAATTTCATACTAATCTAAAGAGTATCTATTATCATATCTTTAAATTTATCATCATCAGAGCTGAATTTATTAACTGTGAGATTTATTTAATTAAATGAGAAGTAATTATCTAATATATGAGACAATATAATATACATGATAGCTCAGAGCTACTTGTTTATAATAATAATAATAATAAATGCTTTAGTGTTATTTAATCTTCTGAGATCTAATTCTTCACTATATCTTTTCAATTAATATTCTTATATATAATTGTAAAACTATATCATCAAATCAAAATAGCAGATAAGATCATACAAGAGATGAAAAATATTATGATATCTAATTTGACTCAGTGATTGAATAAGATATTTAAAAGAGTCTGATACAGGTAAAATTAAATACATATTAAAAGAATGAGTTATTTACTCATTATTTGATGAATACATATTGAATTATCAAAAACAACTGCAAATAAATGCAGATAGAAGATGTTTTCACTATCAAAAATATTAATCACAAGATCAAATGTCATAAAAAAGAGAAACTAATAAAAAAGAGAAATAGAATTCTATAGTCAGTTAAGATCAAAATTCTCAAATCAAATATCAATTAATCATAATATAATATTATTAATGAATTATGATCTATTAAAAATTCTATATACTTTAATAAATATATAGATAATTTTTATATTATAGATAAATATGATATTAATTATTAATTAATTTTTAAAAATTGATAATTTTAAAAAATTTTTATTATAATAATATTTTCTTTATAGCAGAGTGCACTCATTAATAAGAAATAGTGAGTATACATAGTACAGTTAATAGTTAACTGTTAAATAATCATTTTTATATACTTATTTAAAACAGTTATTCAAAAAGCAATTATATTACAGTATATAAAAGTTAAAAAACTTTATTATAAATATATTAAAATTATAATTTATTAATAGAAGATAGTAAATTTAATTAATATTAAAAAATACTAAAATCTAGTAAAGTTTTTAAATTAAAATATTAATATTATAAAATTTATTAAATAATAATATAAATTATAATATTATAAAATTTTATTTTAATATATAAAATATAAATTTTTTTTAAAAAAATTTATTATATATAACTATAATATAATTAAAAACTTTATTATTTAAAATATAATTTAAAGAATAGTTATAAAAAAAATATTAAAAAATAAAAAAATTAAAAAATAATTAATAAATAATTATAAATAAAAATAATTTATAAAAGATAAAAATTTTAACTTAATTTAAAATTAAATATAATATTTTAAATATTAATATATCTTTAAATTAATATATTTAAATTTATAATTAAAGAAAAATTATTATTAACCTATTTTTTAAATTATGATAGTATAGAACAAATGAGTTTTATTTAATCTTTTTAATAGTATAAAATTATAAGTTAATATAATTGATAATTACAATTCTCTATATATTAGTGTACCAATCAATCATATAATTACTCTGTATATGAATAATATGTAAATATGAAAAATAGTACTAAAAAAAGAACTATATAAATACTATTTTCTCTGAACTCATCTTTTAAAAATTATTTTAATATTTTATACAAATAGCTTATCTAGCTGATAATTAAATATTTATTTTACCTGTATCTAGATTAAAGTCTTGATATAATATTAAGATTAATAATTTTTTTTACTCTTTTTAAAGTATATTTTTTAAATAAAAAATCTCTTAAGATTTTTATTTATTTTTATTTTAAATTTTTAAAAATACTATTAAAATATCAACAGCAGTTAGAGAATTTAACAGCTTATAAAGATTAAACTAAGATATGATAACTCTGATAAGAAGAAATATAAAATTAAAAAGAAGTTATAGCATATATATCAAGAGATTATTAATTTATAAATAAAGTAATAGAAATTATAAATCAGATTAGAATAAAATAAAGTTATCAGAGAAAGCAAGTGAGTGAATTTAATCAATAAGTAAATAGTTTAATAAAAATATAAAATATTTTATAATAGATATTGAATTCTTTAGTCTTACAAATCAGACTGATAAATATTCAACAGATGTAATAATTAGTCAAGCTTGATGATCTGAAGTACTTTATCAATAAGAAAGAACAGATATTTAAAAACTAACTCTTATATATAAGATATAAGCTAATTGTCAATATTGATCACTTTTCAATTGAAGAAAACTGAATTGCATATATAGAAAATCAGACAGATTATAAAGTAATAAAATATCTAACTTCTAAAATAAGAAAAAATTACTTTGAGGTTTAAGACTATAAAGAAGACTTTTGAGTATCTGCAAAATATATATGAAAATATCAATAAACTTGAGAATGCAAAGATGAAATACTAATAGCTGATAATAAAAAATAAGAACAACTATCATATCTTTGTGACCAAGTTCTTATATCTAACTAATAAAGCTAAAATTTAGAAGAAAGATTATAAATTAAACTTTTTTTACAAACTATTTTTTGATTTTTAATATATAATTATAGCAATTTGCATTAGTTATAGTATTTTTTATAATATTTAAAAGATTTGCATTTAGATTACTCACTATCTCAAGATTATATTTAATTAAAACAGCTGATAATTATTTAACTATAAAGAAACTTCTATAATATAAGTCAATAATAAAATATT